TATATACTGTTTATTCCAATCAAATGACATTTTTTATGTAAATCTTGGACTTAAAATACTTTATGCCCGTTTTGGAAAGTGTAGAGGAAATGTTTCTATATACTTACAAAAACATTAACCGAAAATCTGCTTATTGAATTTTACAAGAAACTTTTATTTTGATACTACTTTTAATATTTATATATCATTTATTGTCCCCCGCCTTTTCGAAGAAAAAAGGGGGATATAGAAATAGGCTGCGTCCGTCCGTCCATCTGTCTGTCCATCCGTCTGTCCGTCCATCACCCTTTCGTGTCCGGTCCATAACTTTGTCATTTATCAAAGGAATCTGAAATAACTTGGCACAAATGTTTGTTATAATAAGACGATGTGTCATGCGCAACAACCAGACCCCTACCTCCAAGATCAAGGTCGCACTTGCTCATTCAAGGTCAACATTGTCTATTTGAGGGTATATGTCGTGTCCGGTCCATAACTTTCTTATCTTTAAAGGGATTTTGTAAATACTTGCCATAATTGTTCACAATAATGAGACAATTTGTCATGCACAACAACCGGTCACCTGACTCCAAGGTCAAGGCCACACTTGCAGGTCAAAGATTAACATAGTCTGTTATAGGGTATATTTTTTGTCCGGTCCATAACTTTTTCACAGATCGAAAGATTTTGTAAATGCTTGCCACAAATAGTCACTATAAAAAGGCAATGTGTCATGCACAAAACCTGGATCCCTAACTCCAAGTTCAAGGTCACACTTAGAGGTCAAAATTTAACATAGTCTGTTTTAGGGTATATTTTGTGTCCGATCATGAACTTTTTCGGGATTTTAAAATTACTAGGCACAAATAATCACAATAAGAAGACAATATGTCAAGTACAACACCTGCATCCCTACCCTCAAGATCAAGGTGACACTTAGAGCTCAAAGGTTAACAGTCTGTTATATGGTATATTTTGTGTCCTGTCCATAACTTATTCATAGATCAAGGGATTATGAAAATACTTGGCACAAATAGTTACAATGATAAGATGATATGTCATGCGTAACACATGTGTCCCTACCTCCAAGGTCAAGGTCACACTTAGAGGTCAAAGATTTACATAGTTTGTTATAGGGTATATTTTGTGTCTGATCTATAACTTCTTCATAGTTCAAGGGATTTTGTAAATACTTGCCACAAATAGTTATATTAATAAGACGATTTGGCATGCATAACACCTGTACCTCTACATCCAAGGTCAAGGTCACACTTAGAGGTCAAAGCTTTACATGATCAACTTTTAAATTCTGCGTTTCATTTTATTTCTTTAATAAATTTATTGTTGCATTTGCAGATCTAGCATTGATCATAAGTTTCGTCTGAAAGTCCTGAGATCCATACCTCAGTTGAAATAGCACAATTTTATGCTTCGTATAAAAATTCTCCGAGGCGGGGGACGTTGGTAACTCTGTTACAAATTCTTGTTTTAAATTTAGTTTGATGACATAACATAAATTATTCCCTTTGTAGAAAAAGTATCCCTTAAGCGACAAGAAAAAGTCTATTTCTCCGGCATATAATCTTTCAAAACATTTTTAAATCAAAGCACAGAAGGCGCTGAATTTGTTTGGGTCTCAGAATGTAAGAAAGGTGCAGGTTGTGAGATTATATGTATAGTACCACCAATGCTTTCCAGCGTTTTAATTGTAGTAAATTGGCTATAAGACATATTGCAACACTGATATTTAATCCAATGTTTATTTGACTTAAACAATTTGAGAAAAAAATGAGTTGCCTTTACTGGGATTTGAACTCCAGACCTCTCGCTTCCTAGGCGAGCGCAAAAACCCTTCAGTCGCGGTGAATTTATATGTGAACGGCCTGAAGAAAACCATATTATTCTAAATTAGGGCTTGTAACGACTTTAACTGTTGTTTAACACAGATATGCATAATCCTGGAGCTTACTATAAGCATGTATATTCATACAGAATCAAAGGGATGCAAGTTCTGTGGTATTTTCTGATCTTTGCAATCTTAATCGTACTGTATATCTGTATGCATTTTCCTGAATAAGTTTATTTTTATGTATGATAATTAATTTTGCAAGGCACCAGAGTTTGATACATACGGAATTCTGCATAACTCGAGAGGCATCAAAAAATCATTTATGTTCATTTTTTTACGACAGTCACACTTTATCCTTGCATATCATGGCTACTTCCTTAACAAAGACACTTTAAAAAGAATTTAAAAAAAAAGTTTCTTTGACTTGGATTTGAACTCCAGACCTCTCATTCCGCAAGCGAGCGCGTTACCCCTGCACCACGGAGAAGTTAAACAAATAATGTCTGAATAACATCAACTCATTCTATATTTAGAACTTGCATTTCGGGTTTGTAATCCTTATTAATTTCTAGGTGTTTTGTTCAGGATAAACCTGTTGTTAAAAATTGAAGTAAATAATTTAGCGAAAATCTTCTCGCCCAAACAGTCCGACATGTAGAATCTATATATTCCACTACTCGGTTTGTGTAGTATTCGGTAATCGACATCGCTAAAAATAGTATTTTCATTGATAAAATCATATTCATCCGCGTAATTTGTGATTGTGCATTTATTGACAATTCTATTAGCCAACGCTATTTTTAAACTTTGAATGCGTTGTTATTTGTTGGATACTTGTAACAAAATAAAAATATTTCTTTCTTTTAAATCGCTAGTTTTAAGCTATTTTGAGAACTACTTGTTGTTAGGTTTGTTGTGAACTTCTGTGTCAGAGATTGAATGACCGCTTTGTATTTACTTATTTTCGATCAGAAAATACAATAAAACAATATTAGAAATCTTCGACCATTCGGGAATTATTTTGCTTGAAAATTAATTCACCTGTCTTTGACCATCTTTACGCAGTGATCTCCCCTGAATTTTTCGGCGTTAGTGTACATATAAAGGGAAGTAACCGCTTCAAAAAAGTGGACTACTTTCGGCGTTTGCAATTAACAGCAACACAAGACGTCATACTGACGTCAGATTTAAGTCAGGTTCTGACGTCGGATGACGGTCGGAAAAACGGTTGGATTTGAAAGTTTTTTTGATGTAATAATCTGACGTCAGGTAGACGTCAGAATCTAACCATTATTTAACCTTTTTATGACCAAAATCTGACCATTATCTTACCATTTTCCGACCTCAATCTGACCATTTTCCGACCTCAATCTGACCATTTTCCGACCTAAATCTAACCAGTTTCTAACCATTTTCCGACCTCAATCTGACCATTTTCCGACCTAAATATTAACCCTTTTCTGCCCTAAATCTGATCATTTTCTGACCTTCATCTTATCATTCCCCTAATCCTTTTTGTTTCACCACGTCATAAATATTTTCTGGCTAATCCTGATTTGATCTTATTTAATGTAACTCATTCTATTAAGTAACTTTCCCTCAAATGAAATGTATAACAGAAAACTAAAAGCAAAAATATGTTTCATGCTTTTTTAATTTAAGATAAAAGTTGCAATTTTAAGCTGATACATACAATTTTAGTAAATTCTGCAAGGTTAATTAATTTTCATAAATTAAACAAAATAAAACATAAAATAAGTTAATTACAAAACAAAAAGTATTACAAAAACAATGACATAAATGAAACTAAGAAAACATGTACAAATATTAAAGAACAAAACAATGTATGCACATTTCTATCAAAGTTTGCCTTAGCAAATAAAACAATGAAAATATTATAATTTTAAGAAAAGTTAAAAGATTCTGATAATAATGTTTCAAGCAATTAATGACAGATTTTAAGTACTTTAACTATATTTCTACAGCATTTCTAAAACATTTAGTGCCATTTTGCATATTTTGACCTCCTTTGATAATTGTCTGTAATGTATAAATTGCTGCCTTTTAGTTACTTCACAAAGTTATACTTTTAGATATCCATGAGAATTAGCACGAATTTTGAGGTGTGATGCTTTAAGATATGACCTTCTTTCAGCACCCCTCGTCTGTCCGGAGGATATGTAGCGCCCAATAGCGTATGTGACATCATTTTCACTGAAAAAAAAAGAAATTTATGAAACATGTAAAAATAACAAGCAAAAATGTTTTCATGGTTATATTAACTTAATGAACAATTTTGCCAACTTTTTATAAGAGAGCTGTAACAAAAATTAAAAGTAAACATAAATACTGAACATTTAAAAAGCCGCTTTTAAACTCCAGTTTAGTATGGATTAAAGTATGTAATAGAATTTACAAAAATCTTACTTTCATATGTTTATTCTTACATATTCATGTGTTTCCGTCCCTCCGACCTTTGAGAGCATGTCCAACACTTTAACTACCTGAAAAGAAAATTATATTCTAACTTATGTATATATTCTACGTTTGAAATAGAACAGTTACGCAAGTCTAAAATATTTCATAGTTTTAAATTAAAGATTTAATGGAACCAAAACGTCTTGCGTTATTTGGGACCGGAACGTTTTGGGTTATTTGGGACCGAAACGTCTTGGTCCGAAATGCTCGAAATCGTACAAATTCATTCTCAATTCTCAGATTTTAACTGACAAAAACATCACAGTTTAAGAAAAATATGAAAACTAAGCATTCTCTTTGGTAGTACTGAAAGGCATATTATAAACTCTTCACAAGCAGAGTTAAACCATGTCAATTTTAAAAAGATTTATTATTAGACATTATCGCGAATTTGTGTGACATTTTACTTCAGCTGTTCAAATAATGATAATTAAATTTAAGAGTGCTTGCAATCATGCAATTATTTATCAAATACAAAGAAGAAATAAATCTAAATAAATTGAACTGACCTTTTTGTTCAAGAAAACCTATAATATTCACTTATCAATGCATCCCGATTCCTGACCGACAGCCAAAACGTAACGCCTACGAATTTGAATTTCCATCCACGTGACTTTAGATTCGAATTAAAGGTTAATTATGTTTTCTTTCCCTTTTCTGTCACTATGATTAAATGTTAAAGCACTATTAAAAACACGTCATTTTGATACATATAATGTACCACACATGATAATATTACAACGTTAAATGATTGGAACTTGTAAACAGATCTGTAGCTATAAATAGATTTCATAACAATAACACATGTAACTTGCGTATATACAGCGCCACCTTTATGTTTTATTAGGTTGCAGCGCCGCGATCTTGGTCTGTATTTATATAAGAACACTTCATTTGTAATCCAAATAACATTTGGAAAAAAGTTTAAATGATTACAACAGCGAATAAGGATTATTTTTTGTTATTTTTGTTACCTACCGTCAGGACACCGACCATAACCTGACGTTAGTACGACGTCAAAAAGAAACGTCTATTAGACATCGGTATTTTAACGTCAGATTTACGTCGTATTTTGGTCGCCGACGTCGTGACCAAAATCTAACATTAATCCGACGTTATTTTAACGTCATGTGTTTGCTGGGTAGACTCTGAAATTTCGCTACCATTATTTGTTTGGTCTGACGACCCAAACAAATAAAAATGAAGTGTAAAACAAACTTTCATTATGATACTGTATTCAATGTATATAATAAATTCTATTTTGTTAAATAATTGTAATTTATAATCATTCATTGTGTCTTTTATGCAAAAATATCCCCAAATATTTTCGAATTAAACAAATCTCCCACAGCAGCAAAAAGACCTCTCGCATGCTTCTTCTTGTTCTTTTACAACCACGTTTTTCTAACCGGAAAACATACATAAGTCTAACACCACTAAAAAAACTTCTGTTACCATGGCTACTTCGATTGTACAACTGTTGTATACTCTCCAAAACAATATATATATATATATATATATATATATATATATTATGTGTGACTCATTATATATGTTCCAACTATCACACTCGGGTAAAATAAAGCTTCGTTTTGATTCCTTCTTTTATATTTGGTTTATTGTAATGTTGAAGTAAAAAAATATAATATTCAGGAGAAAAAAATAGAAAAATTGATTCCTAATCTAGATTCTAGATTTTTCTAATCTAACTTACATGCAAAAATTTGTCTTACATCTGTTGGTAACCAAGACAGTTTTTTCTACATGCATTTTGTTGTAAATGTGGTTTTCATTATCCCTCATGTACAGACTCAATCAAACCGAGTCTGCAATTCTCTTTTAATTTTGTTGTGGTTAATGCTTCCGATGGATCACTTTGTTACTTCACAACAGCAGGTGTCAAGTGTTGTGTGGCAGCTGTAAAAAGTTGCCCCGTACTTCTTTTCAGTGTTGTTATATTTTTTCTGGTCCTTCGGGATCATTGATGCCGGCACTATTAAGTGTTGAGAATTGAGTACCGCTCAAGCCGGTGCTAGGGGGCGTGAGGGATATTGCATGTTTTCATTATCCCTCATGTACAGACTCAATCAAACCGGGTCTGCAATTCTCTTGTAATTTTGTTGTGATTAATGCTTCCGAGGGCTCACTTTGTTTCCAGATTTTGATACTTCACAACAGCAGCCGGTGCTAGGGGGCGTGAGGAATGTTGCACGTTTTCATTACCCCTCATGTACAGACTCAATCAAACCGAGTCTGCAATTCTCTTGTAATTTTGTTGTGATTGATGCTTCCGAGGGATCACTTTGTTTCCAGATTTTTGTAGAACTAATCCTATTAAATACAGGTAAATTGATCTTTTGATAGATTATCAATATAGCCAACATTATATTATTCTTTTATGTTCTTTCCATTTCAATAGCACTGCAAATTATTCATAATTCTTTTTTGCATGCATATTTTGTTGTTTCAAAATTGTTTAAGCGAGTTCAGTTTGCAATTTGCTGTCAATTGGCTAGGATAAAATTGAAAAGTTATTTATTTCGTGCGATAAAATGGTTGCTGTATTTCTCAACAGAAATTTCATATTTATTTTTCTTGTGATTTATTTTTGTTATTCAAACGCACAAATTTTGGAAAAAGATTCGGAATGTGCTAAATCTAAATTAGATAGAGTGTCTTATATCCCACAAACAGATGCGAAATTAATTGTACTTCATGGTAAATCAAAGGTGTCTTGCATTTATCAATGTGAACGTCTTGAACTGCCATCGTCGTACTTTATTGAAAATAATTCTACATGTTATTGTAGTTCTGATGATTCAAACAACATGGACAAACATGATGATGCTGACACAACAATTATCCGGGGAATAAGAAAGGAAAAGGTGTCAATAAAGTACATTCAAGTAAGCATTATAAAAATAATTACTTGTTTTATATTTTTGTGTTAATTAACTAGCATCTTTTTTTCTAAACTTGTCTTAAAGATTTGTAGCTGTCAATTTAAGTACATTTTAATAGAGAATGTTTATAAACAATTATCATTAACTATTACTTATATAAAATTTATCCTATAAACTAAATCGCCTAATGTTATCTATATCAAAGACTCGGCCAATTCGGAGGAGCTCATTTTTTTGCATAAGATATTATTTGTATTTTACGTTTACGATATCTAATAATTTCTTATAATCTCATAATATATATAATATACATTTTTATTTTGATAATGATCAGTTGACATGTGTTTAACACAAATAGTGATTTATACAGATTAAAAAAATCAACAAAATATTTAATTTTCAAGGAAGCGTTTATTATCATGTTTTACAGGAAGGCAGTCAAAAAGTAAAAAGAGTTCACAAGCAACCCGAGCCAGTTGACTGTCTTGCGTTTTATCAACAAGGCTATACCGAAGACGGTGTTTATGTGATCAAACCAACTGGAAGTACTGCTACTGATGTATGGTGTGATATGACCAATGGTGGATGGACGGTTATTCAACGCCGACAAGACGGATCAGATGATTTCTACAGAAACTGGGAAGACTACAAGAATGGATTCGGGAACAGGAGTAGCGAGTATTGGCTCGGACTTGAACAGATATACTATTTGACGATTGCCGACAGTTCACTCTATGTATGCTTGGAAACGTTTGAAATTGACAATCGTAATCCGGTTTCTGCCTATGCTGAATATTCCACCTTCAGTATTAAGGATGAGAGTGATAAATACAGATTGTTGGTTGGGGGATATAGCGGCTCGTGTGGCAATTCCTTGTTGTATCATAACAATAATCAATTCACAACAAAAGACAGTGATAATGACCAATACAGCGGGAATTGTGCAGTGCTATTTAGCGGAGCTTGGTGGTACAATAATTGTGATCATAGTAATCTCAATGGATTGTACCCACACACCAATGGTTTAGCCC